TTAGTAAGTTAAAAAATTTGTTGTTTTTTTTTGTTTTTCAAAATATTTATTTTAGGTGATTATACAAAACGATCATATAAATATGATAATGTTACATATCTTGGTGGTTCTATGAATATTGTTGAACGATTACCTTCGTGTTTAGTTAAACCTGATCTTGGACCAAAACTTTATATTGCATATAGTAAGTTTATATGCATAATTAATATGAAGGATATACATGAACATTCTAAGTCAAACATTCATGAGGAAATTTTTTCAAATGTCAAATCACTTTTTGAATAAGACGATGTTTATTTAGAATGATTTGATTTTTTAACCAAAAACCTGTGGCCATCTGAAAAATCGATTTCAAACTTCGCAAGAACACAGCTTGCAATGAGATTAGTTAATTGGGCAAGTTGTACTTTCTACTTAGGGTTATCCAAAAGTAGTGACGGAAGTCCTTTTTTTTTCTTATAGAAAGCTTGAAAAAATTTTCTTTTTTTATGAATAGATAGAGTGTCTTTCGCTCTATCTTTCTATGCTATTTGACCACTATTAAACTAATATCATAATAATAAAATTTCGATAAGAGCTATTTTTGTTGAAAACCAGCTGGCAACATTTAGATCATAATGGGTGTAGTATAAAAAATGGGACATGTTTGCATTTCATTTTATTATCACTCCATACGTTGTATTAAAAAAAAACAAAATATACCAGAAGATGCAGTGTGAAAAGCTCTATAATTTATAAAGTACCACTTATTTTATAGATGTACTTTTTTTTTTAAAAATGGACAAAACTCTGAGTTACCAAGTTTCGACGTGACGAAAACGAGATCTTTTTTTGGTAAAAAAACGAATTCGGTCTTTTTCTATCTTATCTTTGTATAGTTGTTCTTTGTAAATTGTAGAGCTCTTCACGCTGCATCTTGCAGTGTATTTTGCTTTTTAAAATATAACATATCAAGTAATAAAAAGATGAGATAGGAAAAACGGAATTCATCTTTTAACAAAAAAAACAATCTTGTTTTCGCAACGTTGAAATTTGACAGCTCAGAGTTTTGCTCATTTTTAGAACAAAAAGTACAACTATAAAATAAGTGGTACTTTATAAATTGTAGAGCTTTTCACGCTGCATTTTCTGGTATATTTCGTTTTTTCAATACAACATATTATGTGATAATAAAGTGGAATGCAAAAATACCACACTCATTATGAACTAAATGTTACCAGCTGGTTTTCAACAAAAATAGCTCTTATCGAAATTTTATTATTATGATATTAGTTTAATAGTGGACAAATAGCATAGAAAGATAGAGCGAAAGACGCTCTATCTATTCATAAAAAAGAAAATTTTTTCAAGCTTTCTATAAGAAAAAAAAAAGAACCTCCGTCACTTCTTTTGGATAACCCTAAGTACTTTCTCTATCTTGATATATTGGAAAAATCATGAATATTAATGAGTGTTGAAGCGCGTTGGATTTCCTCTTTCATACGGACCGTGACAGACATTGTTGATATACGATCAAAGACCAAATATGAATAGGGTCTCCCAAATCTAGAGCATAAGATGGAAAAATAAAGTTCAATTTTATCTCTTCAATATTGATATTTATTAGGTCAACTTACAAGTCAAGCAACAAAAAAAGCTGGAACAACAAATCTTCATATTGATGTATCAGATGCTGTTAATGTTCTTGTCTATGTTGGTATAGGTGGTCATGGTGATGATGGATTAGATAAAGAAGAAGAAATTCAACGTAAATAAATAAATAAATAAATAAATAAAAAGAAAAAAACTTGGTTTTATTTATTGTAGAAGTCGAAGCTGAAATACTTGATTCAAATATTGATGAAATTCAATTACAACGATTAAGAAATGGAGAACGACCAGGTGCTCTTTGGCATTTATTTCGTGCTGATGATGCAAAAAAAATTCGTGAATATATTGGTCGAGTAAGTTCTTTTTTTGTTTTCCCTTTATTCGATCGAATAAGTTTTAATCTATAAAAAATATATATTTTTTTTTTCTTATCTTAGGCTCAACGTAAAACTGCTGGTTCTGATTCTATACATGATCAAACAGCTTATTTAGAAAAAGAAGATTTAGAAAAATTAAGAGATTGGAGTAAAGTTGAATCATATCCAATTCTACAATTTCTTGGTGATGCTATTTTTATTCCAAGTGGTGCACCTCATCAAGTAATTATGAACAAAAATTTGAGATAATTTCATAGCAAAATTATTTTAAATTTTCTTTTTTCTTTTTCAACAATTGAATAATTAATATTATTTTCTAGGTAAAAAATTTACATTCATGTATAAAAATAGCTGAAGATTTTGTTTCACCGGAAAATCTTGATCGATGTTTAATAACAACAAATGAATTTCGAACATTATCAAGTACACATACAAATCATGCTGATATCTTGCAGGTAAATTTTTTCTCATTATATATACATATTTTGTAAGCAAAATTATAATTTGACTAGAGATAAATTCATATCTAAATGTAGATTAGAATGAAAAAGCTGCTAATATAATCCTTACGTGATTAAAATATGAAACACGATGTAATTACTAATCATAGAGAGTTTATTTTGACACATATTTCTTCAGTATCCTTTTACACAACTCGTCAATAAGGAAGTAGTTCATATACTATAACGAGACATTATTCATATACGATCTGGAGTTCAGATTTTTACCCTCTATACTTCGACAATCCTTTTAGATCGTCTTTTACATAAATTATAATTGTAGCAGTCGTGTCGATATGCAGTATAAACACGGATCACAGTACCTGTCGGGATCCTTATAAAAGAGTCGTTCAAAAAAAAAAAGAACGTTGCAAATGTACAAAATGAGGTATAAATAACATTACGATAAAAAAGAATGAAATATCTCAGCGTCGATTAAATTAAATGGGCTGAGTTTTTAGTTAGTAGTAGAGGTTTATTTAAATTTATTTTTCTTATACGAATGAAGTGAACAAATTATACTATTATAAATACAATTGTAGCGTTTCATAGATAATTTTCAGTTGTCAGCTAAGATAAAAAAAAACCTGAGATGATGTAGCACACGTTCCGCACAAGTTTGCTCAGTGTCCGAGGCTGACTCTCGGATTTCTGTTCTATATGTATAAATATAGATTGTAGGCGTCATAATCTAATTAAAAAAATATCTAAATCGGATTCAATAACTGGTTGCATTTGAAATTTCAAAGACAAATGTGCTATAAAACAATGTTCGTGTAACAAAAAAAACCAGCATGAGAGTTTTTTTTGTTCGACAAAAAGGTCATTTAAAACGGAATGATTGTACAAATATGAGTGAATAGATTAAATTGTTAAGTGAAATGAAAACAAAAATATTATTAATTTTTCCTCGAACATATAAATATATATTAATTAAAAATAAAACTCTTTTGTTTTTTAGGCAAAGAATATTCTGTATTATACAGTACACGATGCATTAACTACTCTGATTGAATCAAATGAAACTAATCCATCATTCGAGTCTTCCTCTTCAAATGTATATAATTAATTTCTTTGATGGATGATGGATAATATATATATATATAAATTTGTTTTTCTTCCATTTTTATTTATTGCATTTATGTGTGTTTGTTTGTTTGTTTGTTGGGTTTTTGTTGTCGTGAAGATGGAATATTATATGGTTAGACTAGAAATCGGAGTCACGTTCTTTGCTCTCAATATATATATGTATGTGTTCATCTCACATCTTTCTTGTGTTTTTTCATCATTTTTTTTCTCTTGTTGTTCCTGTCACGTTCTTTGATTTTCTTTTTTTGTGTTTCTTTTTTTCTTTTTGGTGCTAGATTAATTTTCATGCATAGATTTTTTTCTTTTGTGTCTTCGTTGTTAGCTTTTGTTGTTGTTCATTTTGGTGTTAATGTTTATGTATGTCAAAACAACAGATAACAATAGGTATGTTTTTTTTTTTGCCTGTTTGTATAGCATATAATCAAAAGATTTCATTATATATACATATATATATTGAAGTATATACGAGCAATTAATTATCAAATTAATGAAACGAAGTTCATAACTAAGAATGAATGACTTTTGATAATAATATAAAAAAAAAAAACGAAACAATTTGCGAAATTAAGCATTATGATTGATACAATCTTGTGTTTTTGAATATGAAGAATTTTTGATTAATTAAATTTATAAAATGATCTAATGTTGAGAGAAAAAAAAAGGTTCATTATATAAAATAATAAATAGTTCAAAGAGTTATTTCAGTTGGTATATGATATTAAAAGTTTAGAATTAAAAAAAAATTTTTTTCGAAAGAAAACAAATCATCATAAACATTTTTCGTCTATGAAATAATAGAATACTGATCACTAGAGATCTCGATGTGAGAAGGGCTTGGGTGAACTAGCCTTCTCCCTTCCACTTTTTACGTTGTGTCTGCAAGAATTTCATGCTACAGTTGAAAAACTATGTCTGCCAAGTTTTAGAAGACAACTTTTCTCAGTCAGTTTCTGCCTCCGACTGTGTGTCAAATTGTTAGCTCTTTCCACTTTTAACAATTATGAAAGTTCTGCCGATTATTAGTTTGCTTTGTCACGAATATTGGATTCGTTTCTTTCATTAGTATGACTAATGATTGATAGTTGACAGATATGTACAGTAGAATAAAATACATATATGTGGAGTTTTATGGTAATTGTAATCAGTAAATCGATTAAACAGACATGTCATAGTCGATATATATTAATCTTGAATGATCCATTTCAAGTACAACTTATTAAATATATTGGTAATCTGGATAAGGTGAGAAAGAATCTTTATCGGAGTTTGAACTACATTAATTAATCGAATGAGAATAATAAGTTCTACTTTTTTTTTTTTATCATATTTTATTTAGTTTGATTTTTAAACCTGAATATTGATAAATAAAAAACTTAAAACAAATTGAATAACATCGTTTGATTTCTTTTATATTTTTTTATTTTCTTCTTATCCATAATAAATGTTAATGTCGTTTTTGATGACGATGACGAGATGATCGACTCAAATGCAAATGTGCCTTTGGCACTGAAGGTAAAGATCCTACTGGATCTACTGGTGCATAACCAAATTCAAGATAATAAACTTGATTGAGTGATGAAAGATTTGTAAATATTTCTTGTTCATAAACTTGTGAACTGAATTGAGAACCCATATAAATTAATGACTAAAACATTGAATTGTCTAATATAAAAAACACTTATTAGTATGTCTTTATATATTACACATATATGTTACATACACAAGAAAATTTTTTACTTACTATTTGTGACGACAGCAATTAAAAGCATATCGAAACAAATTATTTTTTTTTTATCTATATGTATTCATCAAGAAGTATATCAAGAATATGGAAATTCATTAACGTTAGAAAAACTGGCGACATGGTTGAATGCATTTACAGAAGATGTCTATAGTTCACAGTGAATAATTTATAACTTACTCTGGTTCGTTTGACTACCAATATAAATGAACCAATGAATTTTCTTCCGGGTATTTATAAAACAGACTTTAGTTATATTTTCGATTATAAAATAGTAAGTTTTAACGCGCCAATTTATTGATATTTTTATCAAATTTTGATAAATTTTCTTAAATGGCTCAACATAATCATCATATAAAACGTTTACAACATACAACAAATTCATTTAATCATCGTTCGTCATTACCTGATCATGAAGCAATGAGAGAATCTATTCAAAATTTTTCTATTTCATCTAACAATAATACGAAATATTCTCGACCAGTATTGATTATTATTTTTTGTTTTTGTTTTCTTTTGTTATTTCTTATGATAAATAATATTATATTTTAGTTTAATTTACCACCTCATCGAGCACGACGTGGTGCTAGTAGTGGTAGAGGATATGATCGTAATTTTAATTCATCAATATCATTACCAAAACGTGCAATTAATTATGATTTAGCTGAAAGTTTTATGGATCATTCAACAAATCCATTATCATCAGATTTATATAAAATTCGATTTAAACATTCAGCAAAACAATGGCCTAATGGTCGTTTTATAAATTATAAAGAGAAACTTGATAAATTAGATGGAAATATTGTTGATATAACATGTACATGTCATTTTCCTATTGTATTAAAAAGAAAAAAACTTCAAGAAACGAAACAAAATGAACAAAATACAACAAATACACAATCATCATTAGTTTTAGTTGATCATATGACTCAAGAACAAAAGAAAAAATTAGCTGATCAACAAACCAATTTGTATGCTAATTTATTTGGTTGTGGAAAAATTCCTCGAGTAAATATTATACTTTTGAATATTTATTATCACAATTACAATAATAAGGAAAATATGGCCATTTGATAAAGTCCTAAAATTTTTGGAAGCTCGAAAATTAGTTGTTTATGTTATTATTGTCAAAAATTAATTCTAATATCAGTTAGTACATATGAAATATTGACAGAAGATGCATCTAATGCAATATGATTATGTGCACATATTTGTGTCGAAAAAAAGTCAGATGTTTATGTATTAGTTTGATGGAACTCTTCGGTATTAAAAGCTCTATCGATATAAAATGTTTGAATTCTGAGATTAGAGGAGAGAAGTTATCGGTAGGTTTCTAGTTACTGAGTAACGGAGTAATGACAACTTTTATGAATTTGATTTTTTAGTTAAGACATTGATATTGGAGAAAAATCACGAACTCTTATAAAGCTACTTCATAAGCTCCTGCAGTTGAGGAAACTTGATCGAGAAATGATATATATTATTTCGAGAAATCGATTACAGATTCAGATTTCTTGACTCCCGAAAGTCTTTGATCAAATTATATAAGAAATCCTGATTTTTCTCCAATAGCTATTCTCTGACGAAAGAATTAAATCCACGACTTCTCCGTTACCTGGTAACGCAACTTCCCACCCCTAATTCTAATCAGTAATCACGAAAGATTCACTTTTGCGAAGTTGTTTTTTCTCATTAAAATAGCTTCAGTGCCTTTGGTAATATTGTTCTTGACAAAGATAGAACCGATATATCTTACTTATTTTGTTGCCCTGATTATCTCATAAAGTATATGCACCGAAACTTTGTTGAAAGTTAACTATGCCAAATATCACTATCCACAGATGGAATAGTACAATAAGTTTTCGATTCAGTGTCGATCTGACCGACTTCTGTCAGTACCGATCGTGAAAAATTCAGACTAGTTCCATCTCTGGTTTGTTCTTAGTTTGACAGAATAAACAAATCTCACAAGAATCTGATTAATTCTATTTTTTTTTTCTTTTGTAAATAGTTGTCATCAACTACTCAGATAAAGAAAACCAATGGTATTAGTAATTCAACCAAACCATCTACTACTTCAATTCCATTACTCGGTGAAAATAAAGAAGATCAAAAATGTGAATGAAAACTTTCCATTCCATGTTATTTACTTTCGTTCAGTATATTTGCGTTGTTGTTTACATTAGTAGTCATTTATGTATATACGTTATACACTTTTTACTTCTTTTCTTTTGTGTCTTTCATTAATTATCAGATATTATTATGCATTGGATATGAACGGTTTTGTTCTTGTTTTTTTTTTTTGTTGTTCTTACTTAAAATGTTAAAAAGCAACTGTTGAAATATGAGAATAGTTTTTTTGAAGAATGTTCATTTTTGTTTCTGTTTTCTTAGATGGAGAAGAAACAGAGATAATAGCCATTGATATGAAGATATTTCAATAAATAAACAAAAGAAAAATAATTTATCTATTACTGATTTATAATCTTCTGTTATAAATATAAACAATATGATTCACTTGATTTTATACAATTAAATAACAGTATTCATATATTGAAATTTATCCATAAGACTTGTATAGTAGAATTTGGTCACTGCTAGGCGACTGTTCAGCTTTAGGTTTAAGGCAAATAAAAATATTATGCTTGTCATAATACAACTTACCTTTAAGTTTTGAATCAACCTATTAGGATAATTTTGAATCAACATTATTTACAATTTTATTTATAAATTTAACAAATAAGTATCCAATCAAGTGTTAAAATAAACGATATCTCATAAAGAACAAGTTTATCAACGATTAAAACCCTTCACTTATACTTTCAATGTTTGATTTGCAATTTTTTAAAAAATGTTCAAGCAGTGAAGTTAAACAGTTGATATGATAAGACGCGGCCACCCGGTGAACATATAAGATGAGAGATGAGTGCGAAGCAATTGCCCTTTACGAATTTCTTCGCCGGTGCGGTCGCCTAAAAGTCAGTTATATTTGCTGTTAGAGTGTAGGTCGTCCGTGCATAGGCGGTCACGCCGTATGTGCTGACGATGCATATCTCTGATATACATTTCATTCTTAACAAGAAATGATATGAGAAAATACAGTAAGATATTGTTGTTTGAAATTTTACCAGCTTTGTTACAGAGACTGAGAAATGTTGATGAAGATTAAGCACTTCCTGCAGTTATTTATTTATACATCACAAGGTAGGAGAACAAGAAATAGTAAACAAAATCAACAACCAAATATTAACTAATTTTATTGAAGATATCTTATACTCTTTAATCAGTATGATTAATCATTATCCTATGCGTTTAGTATTAGATAAAACAAAAATTAAAACGAGAACTTCATAATGCGGGATGGGAAGAATCCAGATATTAAAGGCATTAGGTATGTCTACCCAAGCAGCAAGACTTATCAGTCTATTAGATAATGTATTATGCCACGAATAGAAAACGGAAAAAAAAATTTAGTTACAGCTATTGCCCGTTTCAAAAAAGGAAGGCGGATGGATATTTTTCGAATAATTTTTGATAGAAGCATGATATGGAGCTGCAATTTTCACCGTTGGAAAGAGGAGATGAAGATGCGTCGAACTGTATATCATAGAATAATTTGGCATGGTTCTTTCAAGGACTTACACCGACGTTTTTGAAAATCAACATGCACCCTAAGGTGAGTAAAATGAATTTTCAATAATCAGATGTATATTTGAACTGCTAATGGAAGATCTATAAAACTGAGCAAGGTCCAGACTTCTAGATCTGTTTGTTCAGGAGTTATAGATATTCTACTCGAAATTCTGAGCCGATTTTTCTATTACTTTCTGTGTAAGAGAAAAATCACTTTTTTGTATTTTTCTTATTTGATGAAGAATCACGTCTTCGGCACTTTTGTTTAGAAGATTGGTTAAGAAAACATCTAATAAAAACGTATAATATACAATTCGATGCGTCTTCATCTTCTCTTTTCAATGGCGAAAACCGCAGATCTCTGTCTTGCTTCTATCAAAAGTTATTCGAAAAATATTCACCCACCTTTTTTTTTGTGAAATGAGCAATAGTTCATGGAATTTTATAGTACAGAATTCACCATAATAATCTATTAAAATTTATTGAACTGACTAACTCTATATCATTGTGAAATCATATTATTTTTCGTCGAACAATTAAGAGCGCCCTGCGATTATTAAGATTGAGGGAGGTGACTACTGAGAAGGTAGGATTCATAACATAGAAGGTCAACCCTTATTAAGAGGATTGATGGGCAGAAAAAATGGGAATTTTTCAAGGTTAAGAAGTCAGTGCGCCTGTTCGGGACAATGCTATTGAAAATAAAAAATCTTTGGAAAACAAAGCTGACAAAATGTGATACATTGATATCTGAAGAATAAAAACTATAGTATAGTGTAATATTTCAGCAAATCAAAAAGAGCATGAATTTAATGATAGGTTTAGAACTCTATTGGCGAGATGAACAAGTCCTGTGAAGACGGTGAGTGTAGACATCTTCGATAATTAAAAATAGTTCATTTTTATCGAGCAAGACGAGAAAATTTATTTTTTTAAATTTTACACTGTCCATATGAAACATTTTCCTAAATATCCCCTTCCCAATCTTGAGACCTTTGCGCGGAGCCTGGATATGAATAATTCCCAGAAAATACTCTCATTATCTATGATTCGGGTTAGTTGTGAGATAAAAAAAAAGGATAATCAGCTTTGATTGATAACAATACTTTACAGTCAGTGATGAAATCACAATGTTGAATCTATTCTAAGTACTTGACTTTAATGTTATTCAATCATGCATAAACCATTTGAACAAATCTGGAAGAAAGCAATAATTCAAAACAATAAGTTCTTACCTAAAAGGCATAAGAAATTACTTTTTATTTTATTTGAACATACTTAAAGATGTCGCTCAAGTACAATAACATTTAATAGATATGACATTTAAATAGAATTTATTTAATTATAAAGAAAAAATAAATAATAGATTAATTTATATATTTTTTATATAGTTGATTTAAACTTAATTTTTTTTCCTACAATAGTTGCTTACATTGACGAGGCAATTGAATGAT